GTGACAACAGCAACAAATTTTTCCTCATTAATTTGAGGAAGTGTGTAGTGGGCAAAAAAAAAAGAATTCAAGAAATGAATTTTCAGAATAATATTTCATATTAAACTAACTCACTTCTAAAAGATGTCTAAAAAAATTGTATGTATGTTTAAGCATAGTATATATTAGTTCGACGGATTTGTGACCTAATAAGTACGGTTTGTCGTTGTTGCTGTTGTCATCTCTCGTAGCTTAGTGGTCAAAGCATTGGCGCGTAAAGCCAAAGAGCCCGGGTTCGATTCCCGGCGGGGTGTGACAACAGCAACAAAAAATTTTTCTTCCTCATTAATTTGAGGAAGTGTGTAGTGGGTAAATATTCACAAATGAATTTTCAGAATAATATTTCATATTAAAGAATTAAAATTTAATTATTTTTTCTCACCGTCCGTTACTCTGTCAAGGTATTCCATTTCCGTAAGAGCCTCGTAAGACAATAGTCCATTATGTTTCTCCAAAACCGTTGTCACCTCTTTGCGCAGCTTCTCTTGTATTTCAAGATTACAACCAAGTTCATAAATAGCATGTGTTAAAGCGGACGAGGTTGTTTCGAAGCCAGCGTTGAAGAGCAGCAGTGCCTGAGTCGCAATGTTAGTTTTTTTTACTTTCTCGTTGGTCTCGTTTTTCTCCAATTCCATTAATGATTGAAAGAAATCGTTATATTTTGCATTGTTCTTAGTTCTATAATCAAAAACTTCGTCCACAATGTTCATAAAAAAATCTGAAACATCTTTCGGAAATACACCCAGTCCTAGGTACCTTGCCAATTTAGGGAAACCTCTGGTGAATGTTGCTTTTAGAAGTCGAAACGGTGTGAAATGGAAAAGGCGTTTTCCGAATTTTCTAAAATCGGTGTTTGGATGTTCCATACTGTTACATTCTACTCCAAGTGAGCAACGGCCAATAATATCTGTTGTCAGGCATCCCATCAACTCCTTTATCTCAACAGGCTCCATTCTTCTTACATAATCGTCTATTTTTTTTACGAATCTTTCGTTATGTATTTGCAACAAGGGACACATTAGTTTTAATTTGCTTATAGTAAAAAGTGGTGTCAATTTATATCTCATATCTTTCCATTCTTGACCTACCGCCGTCAATAAATTGAAGCTTAAAGGATCGTGCTTTTTGTTATAATAAGCAACCCTGTCGGAGAAATAGTTGAAGTCTTTAATAAGGATGTTCTTGATGATGACTGGATCTACTGGTAAATAGAGTGGAGTAAAATAAACGTATATTCCGCCATGCTTTTGATTGCTTCTTTTAAAACTATTATAAGCATCTGCTACTGTTACATGTCCAGATGCAGTTTTATTGAATGGATTTCCCAGACTTCCATAAGGAAACTGAGGGCGTTTTACAGCAATGTCGAAGTTGTCCCAATACGTGTATCTTCGTTTAAAAATTATATATACTAACAAAATGCCGATTCCCAACGGCACAAGTATAGTCATTAACACAGATAATAATAGAGATTCCATATTTTTAATTTATTAAGAATGCACCTGCTTACGCCGACATAAACAAACTTATGTTTATAAAATTTATAAAAGGAATATGTTTAATTATTGAATATTATCTTATAATTTAGACAACTACTGTTACAACTTGATGTTTTTTGTAAATTATCTAGAATACATGAAAATATATTCGTTATTACAGTGCTCGAACTGCTTCTAACTTACCTATACGAATAATGATTATACTATAGTATCACCTGTAGAAACAATTAAAAGACTAGATAACATGGATAGTAAAGTAAAATAATATTTTCTAATGATTGTCGACTGAATGATATTACTATCTTTATTGACAAAAGTACCGCAAAAGTATTAACTAATCGGAATTAAACGGCATTGAAAATTTTTTCCCGGAGCAAATGAAAAACATACACCTTCCGTCCTTATTTTTATTTAGTTATTGTTACTTATATTTTGAAGAAGATCGTGTAAGCCATAACATATCTTTGTTTAATTTTAAATATGTAAAATTCAATGCGTAGTTATAGTCGTAATTAAAAATGGTCATTAATTCACTTTTTGTCAAGTCCGGACTACATTAGTTGCGGACATCAGTCCATTTCAATGGAATCTGTGAAAAAACAGACAAATATATTTTGATAATGACGTCAGGCGTCGGAGGGTGTGAGTAGGTGATGGGTAATACCCTCTGGGTATGATACATAGCAGTCGACATCGGCTTATGGGTCAATCGTAGAGCGATAGATTTCCTTAAAATAAATTAAGTAAGATTTGATTACGGGACAGAGTCTGTTGTAATAATATCCTTCGTGAAACGCCAAACGTTCTATATCAACCAGCTTCACTTTCCTTACACAATCATTCATTTTATCCGTGAGTGATAGAACTTAAAACTAATGAACTTTTTATAAAATTACTCAAAATCGCAAACCTATGTGGGATTTCATAAAGAAACTAAGTCTGTTGTAACTACAAAAAATACAGATTTGTACTTCTTTTAACTATCCTGTCATCATAAGAATCCTGTGGTTGCCTACTTATAATCAAGGAATCATAATTTGGTGCATGTCCAGATGATGATAATGATTCTGAATAATCAATATGGAAAGCAATAGAGTAATATTCGTTAATTTTAAATAAAAAATAGTCGTTTCAAATTAGTATGTATATCTAAAACAAGAATAAAATTCGCTATAATTAGTGATATTGGGATATTTCCAAAACTTTTCTTCGTTTTTGACTTTAATGATTGCATCAGTTTGTAGTTACAATTTTATTTTCAAGTGCCTTCTTTTCTATAAGACGTCTGACGTATTTTCATAAATATATTTCACATTTAATTCTATGTTGAAAGAAAAAAAAACTGCATACGTTTAATTTTTTCGAAATTGTCAGTCAACTTTTTAATTTCTCACATATTATGACAATCTGGATCGACCACATTTGGAAGATGATTCGCATAATAAATTTTGTTTTATATTATGCGTTAATTTTAGGAAAGGAATTAATTAATAAAAACAAGAAAAAATAGAAATTGCTTGTAGTCTTTATTTAAATCAGTATTATCTAAACTTTACAAATTCACGATTAGATTCAAAGTAGTTATACCAAATGTTTTTAATACATCTGTTAAAAAGATACCTACATTAGTAAACGTACGTGTATTTACCTAAAAATTTCATTACTCAATACGTTCAAAATCGAGATAAATTTCATCGGCGAATCGGTAAATGAACGAATGTGTATCCAATCGCGGTATTCCAGTCTTCGGATTTAGTGTGAATTTGAAATTTTTTACTATAATAGCGAGTCCAATTTTGACTTGCATTAGTCCAAATCTCAATCCTAAAACACAAATGTTTCAAAACTGAGTAAAAATATTCAAAATTACGATAGCAACCTATGCAGTTTCGAGGACCTTCGCCGAAAGGCAAAAATGTACATGGTGGGCGTTTATTTTTATTCTCCTCGTTAAATCTCTCTGGGTCAAATTTATCCGGATTTGGATAATACTCCGGATCAGAATGAATACCTAATATTGATACGAAAACTCTCGTCCCTTTTTTGATGACCACATTGCTGTTCTCTATATTATAGTCTCGTGTACAGTTTCGGGCCAGTACAGCCACGGGTGGATACTTTCTTAGCGTCTCTGTAAAATTGCATTGACAATAAAGTTTTGGTGATATTGGATTGCGAACCCTAAAACATGGTTCTTACCATCAATGACCTTGTTAAGATATTCCATTTCCATTAGGGCTTCGTATGTTAAATTATCTTCGTACTTTTGAAGAATCGACGTTACTTCCTGTCTCAATTTGTCTTGTATATGAGTATTAAGGGCGAGTTCATACAATGCAAAAGTCATAGCGGTGGAAGATGTTTCAAAACCAGCATTGAAGAATACAAAAGATTGTGCTGTTACTTTGTTTCTTTTCTTTATCTGATTTTCTTCGTCTTTTTCTAGCTCCAGTAATGTTTGAAAGAAATCATTTCTATTTACATCTTTTATTTCCCGATATTTGATATTTTCAGCAACGATTTTTAGAAAAAAGTCTGAAACTTCTTTTGGTATGGCGCGTGTTCCTAGAAAGCGTGCGACTTTAGGAAAATTTCTGGCAAGCGCCATTTTAAACATTTCTGATCGTGTAAAATTAAATATTCTACTTCCATAGGTTCGGAAATCGGAGTTGGGATTTTCAAAACTGTTACATTCTATACCAAAAGCGCAACTTCCTACGATATCTGTCGAATAGCAAGCAAGTATTTCTTTGATCCCAGACGATTCTTTCGTTTCAATCATGCTGTCAATTTTCCTTACTAATCTATTACCGCAAAGCCAAAATGTAGTAAACATTTTTTTCATTTTTCCTGACGTAAATGTTGGAGTCAGTTTGATTCTCATTTTTCTCCACTGATCGCCGTCCATTGTCAATAAATTAACACTTATTGGATCGTCTATTTCATTATGATACAAACTTCGGTCAGTGAACGAATTAAAATCTTTGATGAAAATGTTCTTGATAATGAGAGGATCCAGTGGCATATATATGGGGTTTAATAAGACGAAAAGTCCCGCATGCTTTTCACCCTTTTCTTTAACTTGTCTGTATAGTTTTGATAAGATAACGGAAAATGATTCCTTTCTGTTGATTATGCTCCCTAAGCTTCCAAATGGAATGACTGAAGGAGCCACATGTATGTCATATTTATTCCAGTAAGTATACGTGCGTTTAAAGTAATAGTAACTAAATATAACAAGGGTTGCTAGACAAATCAGGGTATTTGTCAAAATTGTTAAGATCGAAAAATCCATGCTGAAATAGTAAATCATACGTTTGTGGCTTTCATTAGTGAAGAAATACGTTAAAAAAATATTGGTAAATGTCTAGTTGATGGGTGGGTGGGATCGAAAGAGGAGGACTCCCCCACCACTACCATAAAAAGATCGTGGCGGTCTCACCCCAATAAAAAGTTATGGGGGTAAGATGGGGTGGGGGTAGGGGGGATCGAAAGATGGTGGTCACCTGAGTAAAACCCCATAAAAAATTTGCGGCGGTCTCACCCCCATAAAAAGTTATGGGGGTTAAAGTTGATTATTTTGACAATTTTCATACACTATAATTCAAATAAAATTCAATAAAACAAATGTTAAATGTTTGAAATTATTGTTT